TCTCTGCTAATCAGACCAGGTTTTCCCCAAAATGTTTTCCAGTTATCTATGAAGCCCACGTTATTTTCTGGGCACCACCTAGACAGCCAGCGGTTGAATGACGACATGCGGCTAAACATGTCATCACTGGTCACACTGGGTAGGGGCCCAGAGAAAACTACGGAGTCCGACATTGTTTTAGCGAAATTACACACTGACTCAACATTAATTTTAGTGACCTCCGACTGGCGAAGTCGGGAGTCATTAGTGCCGACGTGAATAACAACCTTACTGTATTTACGCTTATCTTTAGTCAGCAGCTTCAAATAGGATTCAATGTCACCCGCTCTGGCCCCAGGAAAACATTTGACTATGGCCGCCGGTGTCTCTAGCTTCACGTTTCTGACTATGGAGTCTCCGATTACCAGAGTTGTTTTCTCAGCGGTTGTGTCGCTGAGTGGGGAAAATCGATCGACCCTACATCCACCAGACATCACTTTAATATTTATTGAATGCACTGCAAGAATTGTTCATGAGGAAGTGCCTGATCGTGGTTTCTGCTGTTACTATGCAAACATTAAAACACCTATGAAGCCAGCTGCTTTCTTGGTATTATTAGAAATATTTTTAACCCCCTGCTTAAAGCGCTGCACAAAGCACTTCTTGCAAGAGGAAGTTCAGCTTCAAAAACTTTGAAGCAGTTCATTTATCGATTTTTAATACAGGAGTCACTGTATGGATTACATATTGTTATTTAGATCACTTGTATAGTGATAGTAGTGACGAAGCTAGAAAGCAAATTTTACCAGTTGTGAATAGTTATACTGTATTTTGAAACCTTTTAGACAAGTGTAGAGAGCTTTGTGCCACAGCCAGGGTCAAATGTCCCAAACCCTGCACTTTTGTTGGCGATGTTTTCTGTAAAAATTTGCTGTGTGGCTATTGAATTAGGAATAATGGATGAATGTTGTTGGTTTTTTTTCATGACCCTCCTGACCCACATGCCACAATTCGGCCTGGATTCCCACATATTCACAAAAAATATTAAAATCTAATTGGACAAACTGACATGAAATTTACTGAGCTCATTGATTCTCCCAGGAGGATGAACCCTTTCCATTTTTGGCACTCCACAAGCTTTCATTTGGTGTTATCCACATGTTCAGATGTTAAGGTGTCTCATATTGTAGTCCACGGATTACCATTAGATTTGCTGAACACATTCATGTTCCCAAGGAGATAAACCCTTTTGAATTTGACCCCATGGCTTTTATTCTGCTGTTACTCTTAGGACCTGCAAAATGAATGTTGTTCGAAGCTGTTTGAAACAGTATTAACTAAATCAAGTTAAATTTTTCACTGCAGAATCGTAGAACAGTGTGTCCTTGTGACTAGTGTGAAAAAGAAGCCAATGCTGTGAAGAGTTTTTCCTTGTGCAGTCATCCCTCATGTTCTTCAGCTTGTTATTTTGAAGGGTGGTGGAGACTGTCAGCTATTCTGCTCGTGTCCTTCTTTGAAAATGTCAGACAGCCTGTTAGCAATATTCCAGGCTTATTTGTTTCTAATAGCCTCATTGACATTCCAGTGAGAGGCTTCCTGTGCATCACACCAGTTCATTAGACCACTTGGAAGCGGGGACGCTGCATCGTTTGTCTGCGTCTCAAGCTGACTATATAATAACCAGCAGTACAGCAGTGGATACTTACTATGAACTGTTTCTGTGTATGAAACAGATAAATGTTGGTCTGAGGTGTGTGTATTTCACAGAGGCAGTGAGTGTGAAAAGTGTGCGTGTGTTTTTGGGGTTGTCTTGGGCATTTGACACGCTCAGTTAAGTGTGAGCTGAAGAGATCAGATCAGTGTTTAGTGTTTGGTGCTGATATGAACAAAACCTTGACTTGCTTCCTCAAGGTCGCCACTGATCTCATACTAGTGCCAAAAGGAAGTCTGCAACCATCCAGTTCACTTTGGACATCTTCAGATCTGAAAGCTGAAGAAGGTGCTTCTGTGATCAGATGAGATTTATCACATCATCTTTCATGGCTGCTGCATGCATTCTATCTCCTATTATATCAACCTCCTCTGTTTGCCCTCTGTTCATTTCTGCTTACAAAATGTCTTTAACCTCTGTAGTGTTTATTTTAACACCAAGACAGTTTGACCAAAATTCAAATGAGTTAATGGGCCAGTTTTATATGTATTAGTGGGGCATTATCTCCACAAAATGATTTTTTTTTTCTTTTTTAAAGGGAGAACAGTATCTAATTTATAATCTGTCAAACCACTAAGGGTGTCTTGTGTTAGTGGACAACTAAGGCTGGAACCTTAATATATGAAAACTATCCAGATCCAAAAACGGCGTTGAATATTTGGACAGATAATTTTTTTTTTATTTTTTATTATTTGATCAAATAGTTCCTACAAATGAAATTCAAATTTTGCCAATTTTAGTTATATTTTGTACAGGTGAATAGTTGTTGTACAGCTGCTTGTGTGTGCACAAGATTTAACATTTGAGAACTTTGGTTTCTTTTGTTTAAGGGGCTGAAATCAATATTAATATATTAACAATGGACCTTTATAGTTACTCCCAACTCATTATTTTGGTGTTCTGGCCTGCAGCATTATTGTGTTGGTTCACTCTTACCATTCTTATCTCTATAATCTTTAGTCAGTAGGCCACTAATATCAGAGGAAAGGCTCTAAAAACCCAATGTATGCTATCGGTAGACTTAATGGAGCATTTATCAGATAAAAAGTAAAATATTTACTCAAACAGAGCGAAACAGAGAGTGAATATTAGATTAACGTTGCTCCGTAACAGCTGGATGTATAAAGAAGCAACAGTTTGCTTAATCAATTTAAAAGGTGATGTCAGTTTACGGTGTGTATCTGCTGCCCCCAAGTGATCAAAAAGTGACTTATTGCAGCTTTAAAAATGTGGAAACATCATTTCAGTATTGAAACCCATTAAATAATCCCATTAATTAAACCACATTTATCACATCACTTTCATCCATTTACTGCTTGTGTCCTGTATTCTCTTTTTGTTAATCCCTGTATTCATTTTTAAAACGTACTTAGTGTTTTTCCACCAGTCACTTTGAACAAAGCTAAAATCCTCGCTCGTTCTCAGCTGGCCAGTGTTTTACCGGTCAGAGTTATAGAAGGGGAAGTGCTCTGCCAAAATGACCAGACAGCCCCAGCCAAATTAAATGGAAACCTTCACTATTATCTTCAACTGTACAGACTGACAGAATGTCTTAATTATTGCCATTGATGGGCCCAATGAGGGCTTGTATCATTCCTACACTTAAACAGAACTGGTAGTCCCATCCCTCAAGACATTTTTCTTTATATAGACATTAAGAATAATAAGATTCAGAGTAGTGACAACACAAAAGAGGGTTCAGTTAGGATTTGTACATCCGGCCGCTGGAGCTGCTGTTATGCCAAGCTGCTAATTAGTGATGCTTATGTTCTGACATTAACAATAAATCACACTAAACAGCTCTGTGTAGTGGCAACTCGGTGTCTCTCCTCTTTTCCTCATCACAAAAGCCACAGTAGGCAGAATGAGGACGTTGTTAAATCTGTTTTGACAAATATAGCCATAATGTGATTTGACCAACTGCATCTTGGGAATAAAATCAAACAAAGCAAAATTTCACAAGAGAACATAGCTGACCATACAGGAAAGCCACAGTCAGAAGTCATGAATGAAAACAACAAATGGCAGATGTTTTATTTTTGAAGCATGTGGACGGAGTTATTATTTATGCCAAAGGTGAGACATGTCCTAAACACTTCATGAGGGTCTTCTAGCTTTACATAATGTCTTTATAATCATCTTGGCCGTGTTTGTTGGGCAGACAACCGGAGTGGAGCTGCTGATGAAATGTGTCAACATCCCAGAGACTAATGACAGTGTGGTGAGTCCAGCCATTGTCTCCTTTTCATCCTGTCTCCACCACAGTGCTTATAACTTTACCAGCAGCAGTGTGGGTGGGTGGTGAGAATTGCAATCCATCACTCAGTGTGGAAGACGTTTTTCCAGACATTTAATATTGTTAGTTTCTCATCTGTATTCAGTAAGCAATAGGGCAGCATTGTAGAAAGAACATTATTTATGTCCTTGCCAAAGAAAATAGGAAGTTTAAAACCATGTAATTTGACTAAATCCCCATGTATAACACCCTTCCCTTCTTTGTTCTCCTTTCCCCCTCCAGGAGCTCTACATCATAGACTCAGCGGGGAAGGAGACATTAGTGGAAACCTGCGAGAAAATGGTTAGTTTCTCCTCATTTGCATGAAACTAGTGAAATCCATCAGCCAGGGTTCCACATCCTCATATACAGTTCAAGCACAGGGGAGCTACTGAAGTATCATTTATCTTGTCACAGAAGTACACTAACTCTGTCTTTCTCATTGTCTCCTCCTTCCCGTAAACATGAACCCTGCACAACCCTTTCCACATCACATAGTGGGGTGAGCCATCGTTACTCTGTCTGGTTTTTGACCTGACCAGTGAGCACTCTTTTGCCAACTGTAGCCGCTGGATGGAGAGAGTCCGTGTCCACTGCCACGGGCTCCATGTTCCAGGTAACGCTCCCTAAAGGTCAAAGAATGTGTTGAACACCAGCAGACTGTCAGAAATAGTTCGAGTGTGAAGTCACTGAATTCTTTGGTAATTTTCATTGTGGTACATTATGTGATGGATTTTAGTGTTTTATTTTCTTTTTAAAAGAGAAATGTGACATCCAGTGGATTAACTATAGACTAGGGACTGACTAATACTGGGTTTTGAAGCCAGTATCTATATTGAAATTTGAGAGTTTAAAATATATAAGTGCAGTATTGTCCAATATATTACTACCAGATTTTTTAAAGAGATTTCTTAAGTGTGATTAACTTAACTTAACTTAACACTGTGGTAAACATGGAAGCACTGATTCTAAATTAATTCCCACAAATCTTTCAGGTAATGTTTGGACATTTTTAACAGTGGAAAAAACAGAGGACGTCACATTTTCCTTCTAAGTTGTTTCCCTAATTGCTAGAACTAATAAAACTTTGTAGAACAGCTTTTTACCTATTTGTAGAAATGTAAGAACTGTAGAAATGACCATCAGTCCAGTTTAAACCCTCTTTGGCTAAAATCGAAGAACTTTCCACGACACGTTTGCTTGAGCCTGTGTTTTTGTGAGCTTGTACATTTGTGTGTTTGAGGTGTCCTGGTGGGCAACAAGTCAGACCTGTCCACAAGAAGAGAGGTACAGGCATCCATGGCCCAGGAATGGGCCCAGAGCCAGGGCTTAGAGTACCATGAGACATCGGCTGTGAGTGCAGTTCAATAGTGTGTCATTATTTGGTTCAGTGGGGAGATAGTGGGTATTAACCATTCCCACACTGGGAGGATCAGCATTACAGAAATGCCATAATGCCATTTTTATGCATGAATACGAAACAGTGACATTTCACAGTACTAATCACTGTGCATCCGTTTGTCTCTGACAGAAGGAGATGGAAAACTGTGATGCGCCGTTCCTCAGTTTAGCCCGGATCTTCCACTCTCTCTACCACGAGTGTCGGGAGACCATCCAGAGCCTGAGTCCAGGCTAGAGCCCTTCCCACTAGCACACACACCGCGACTTTTGCCCCAAACGACAGCAGGCACTGGATTTCCATTCAGAGAATTTAATAAGCTTCATGGATAATGCATGTGAGGATGAACCCCTGCATTCTTTTGTACCACCCAGGCTGCAGTCCCGACAGAGGGTGGCTTGTTCACAATAATATTTTGATATGCTGATGAATAAAGTTGTTTTTTTGTGACAATCAGGACTTGGCCGCATTTTCTCTTATCTGCTTGTTCCCATTCTGTGCACAGATAGTGGGGGTTCACAGTGACGGTCAGGTTATTACCACAAACACAATAAGACACTAACTTAATGTGGAAGCGAAAGCAGAGTGTGCATTTCCTCTCCTTTCTGCAACATACATGCATGTTACTGACTCCAGGTAGGAGTAGGGTTTAAGTTTACCCTTATTTATTGCCTCCTCCTCCTCCCTTTTTAATGTTTTCTTTTTATCCCAATGTTACTTTGTTCCTGGCCTCATCTCTCTGTCTCTCCTGTCCTTGTCTCTCTGTCTCACTTTCTCTTTCTCTCTGCCTTCTCCAGTCTTTCCCCAGTCTGTTAATTTAAAAAAAAAACCTATCCTTTCCTCTCACTACCTTTTCTCTTCCCAGTCGTTCTCTTGTTGTGTTATCTCCCCAGCTGTAATCCTTTCACATCATTTCAGACGTGTCCCCGGTGCAGCACTAACGGGTAATCACCGTTCTAATTAGCGGTCTCCCATTCAAACCAGGTCAAAACCACGTCCTTGTTCTGTCAATGCCTCTCAACCAGCTTCCACCATTCAGGTGAAGGGACTCAGACACAATGGTTTTCATCTCATTAGGTACCACATTGTGGTACCTAGTGTGTGATGAAAAGTGACTGCAGTGTGTACTGTAATAATGATGATACAGTCTCCATCCTGTGGAGGCCAGATGCTATCACTTAATTAGATTTTTGATCATTGAGTCTTTGAGTTTTCTGTACCATCTGTGTTTTTACATACATTTGTTCAGAAGTTTGACAATGAAAAACACTTTATTCACCAAAGCACAGGGTTATTAGATAACACACAAAGTAACGTATTGAGCAACCGTTCACCTGTAAAACTAAAACAGATTTGTAATGAGGTTCTTTTGTATTTAACAACTTGTCATCATTAGTGGAGCAGTGTTTTTCTACTCCTTATGTGGGTGATCATAATTATAGCAATTAGGGCTCTTTTTTTCTGTTATTGTTTTTGCATCTATAATGTGTATCAGTGTGTGAGGGTGGCTGCGTGTGTTTAACTGTGTGTCTGATTGTTTTCTCTTTTTTTGCAGGCATATGAAAACAAAATCCAAATACTATACTATATGCATATATAGATTTTACATCTGTTCCCTTTATTTGTGCCTAACAATGTCCATATACATGTGTGTAATGTGCATGGCATTGCCAACTGCAGTATTTTCCTGGACATCTGTCTTATACAGTAGGTGAGCTGTTATTGTACATGCATACCTGCAGGTAACACAAGCTCTTGACCATCCTGAGCACCTCAACAGTATCATAGAGCCTGCCTTTTATTCATTTAAAATGAAGCATCATACCTCGGGAATATCACTTAATAACATCACAGGCTAGAGTGTGGGCTGTTGTTTATTGCTTTGGGAGAGACTTCATTTCCACAGATATTGAAACGTGGTCAGAGATCACAGAAATGCAGAGCCAAGTCTGTTTTGGTGGCTTTGTGCTACACTCACTCATCGGCCATGTCTAAACACAATGATATACTCTCAATAATTTGTATTCAAAACATGTTTGCTTCATTGGCGCAGATCTATAGCACAGCAGGAACAACTGCTATTCACCTTTTAGCCACAAGAAAGGGCAAAAATGTTCAGTGCCACACCCCTTCACAGCTGAGAGGGTGTAGTAGGTCAGCTCTGTTTTTGACAGTGAGATGGTTAGGGCCTGGGCTGTGTCAGGGTGAAAGGAATGCTGATTCATTTGATGTCATTCATGATCAGTGATGCAAACAACAACCACTTCTTTCCTCACAGCTTTTTTACAGTAGGACTAAGGAGTGTAGTGTTTAATGATATTTGTAAATTGATATCCTTTCAGTTGGTGTTGAGGCTTTTTCAGCAAATAAATCAGCACTGTCTGTTAAATACTTCCACATTACCTAGAAATGTCATGTCGTTATCTGTTCTTATGTTCTCTTTTTGCATATTGTATAAAATGCATGAAGCATGTTTAGTGATCAGTTGGTGATGCCATTACAAACTGAACACTGCAGTGTTTGTGCATCTCTACACATATATCTGTGCAAGGTCTAAATCTGCTCTGGGGCATCAGGGTTTTATTTCAGCTGTATTTCACTGCAGTGCATCTCACCCAAACAAACACTAACACAGAGTTTTGTATTCATTGCACAGCCTGAGCACAGGGTGAATAGTTCCAGCTCATATCTTACACCTACACTCACTGTGTTTCTGTTTCTTACACACTTTCTGCAGATCAGCACCGTCTTATTTTCTCTGCTTCCAGTCCTGAACACCTCTAGTTTTGATATTATGGCTTTCTATATGCCTCTTCTCATGTTACTGTTTTATACCAGTTTTTAGCCCAAGTGTAAATGGTGCTGATATTAATGTAGCTTGACTGAATTTTAAGTGAACTGACACCAGCCTTGCTCTCGCTGTCTTTCACAGTGCATGTGTGTCTAACTGTTGCTTGTTCACTCACCTCCGTTTGTGACCTACAAACCTTACTAATCACAAGTGAGGGAGGACAGCAGCTGTTCCCTCAGATCTGATACCCTCCTGTTTGAACTGCACCATGACAGAAACCAGCCACGATGCCTGAGAGCTCATCTGCATAACAATAAAATGTTATATTTGGTATTTCAGAAACACCTTCAAAAAATGTCTAATATCAGTCCAAAGCACTAATTTTCAAAGGGAAAGTAGGCAACTTGTAGGTGTAGCATTTACAGTTGTTAAAGTATTTTTGAAAGAACCTGTGCTCTCTATCTGTTGTGTGCCATAGAGCAATCCAGTCAATTTATTAATGAAAATTGACCTGGGGACACAAATTGTCTCACTGGTTTATGCTACAAATATTAGCATATAAAAAGTAACTTTCAAATAATATGGACTAAATTGCAACAAATAGTACCCTCAAATCATTAGGTATCAAAAACATCTGACAGTGCTTGTCCCCGCTTATCAGCCCACCACCCCAAATAGAGGTAGATAATATTAATTTGCACTTTTACAGGAATGTTGAGAAGGCCCATTGGCAGACAGGAGAAGGGGCAAAAGTGTGGCATTTAATAACAAAAATATAAATTCAACAAAGACAAAAAAACTTAACCAAAAAGACTGCAGCCTCACAGCAAGATACAACCTCATGTCTCCCTTCTCTGACCTGAATTGTATTTTACCTTCTCAGCCGAACATACCATCTATTCAGGTAGGTATAGGATGAGCTAAACAAAGACAAGGTATTAAAGTCATACTAAATAATTAGCAAACAGCAATATAAACCTATAGGTGCACAAAAACACCCCTAACTACAACAAACTGAAAACATTTTTTTAGCTGTGCTCCTACCAGTTTCTAATACCCACCTCTCACTGCTGAGAGGACCTAATAATACAAACCTGAATCTGCTATCCCCGATTGAGCAGCTGATCCACTCAATTATCACATGTAGAAAAAAAAAAATCACACACAACTGACAGAGCAAACCCCCAAGAAACAACACAAATCAACTAACGCAGTCAGTGTCATTTACAGTGCCTTGCGAAAGTATTCGGCCCCCTTGAACTTTGCGACCTTTTGCCACATTTCAGGCTTCAAACATAAAGATATAAAACTGTAATTTTTTGTGAAGAATCAACAACAAGTGGGACACAATCATGAAGTGGAACGAAATTTATTGGATATTTCAAACGTTTTTAACAAATAAAAAACTGAAAAATTGGCCGTGCAAAATTATTCAGCCCCCTTAAGTTAATACTTTGTAGCGCCACCTTTTGCTGCGATTACAGCTGTAAGTCACTTGGGGTATGTCTCTATCAGTTTTGCACATCAAGAGACTGAAATTTTTGCCCATTCCGCCTTGCAAAACAGCTCGAGCTCAGTGAGGTTGGATAGAGAGCGTTTGTGAACAGCAGTTTTCAGTTCTTCCCACAGATTCTCGATTGGATTCAGGTCTGGACTTTGACTTGGCCATTCTAACACCTGGATATGTTTATTTGTGAACCATTCCAATGTAGATTTTGCTTTATGTTTTGGATCATTGTCTTGTTGGAAGACAAATCTCCGTCCCAGTCTCAGGTCTTTTGCAGACACCATCAGGTTTCCTTCCAGAATGGTCCTGTATTTGGCTCCATCCATCTTCCCATCAATTTTAACCATCTTCCCTGTCCCTGCTGAAGAAAAGCAGGCCCAAACCAGGATGCTGCCACCACCATGTTTGACAGTGGGGATGGTGTGTTCAGGGTGATGAGCTGTGTTGCTTTTACGCCAAACATAACATTTTGCATTGTTGCCAAAAAGTTCGATTTTGGTTTCATCTGACCAGAGCACCTTCTTCCACATGTTTGGTGCGTCTCCCAGGTGGCTTGTGGCAAACTTTAAACGACACTTTTTATGGATATCTTTAAGAAATGGCTTTCTTCTTGCCACTCTTCCATAAAGGCCAGATTTGTGCAGTATACGACTGATTGTTGTCCTATGGACAGAGTCTCCCACCTCAGCTGTAGATCTCTGCAGTTCATCCAGAGTGATCATGGGCCTCTTGGCTGCATCTCTGATCAGTCTTCTCCTTGTATGAGCTGAAAGTTTAGAGGGACGGCCAGGTCTTGGTAGATTTGCAGTGGTCTGATACTCCTTCCATTTCAATATTATCGCTTGCACAGTGCTCCTTGGGATGTTTAAAGCTTGGGAAATCTTTTTGTATCCAAATCCGGCTTTAAACTTCTCCACAACAGTATCTCGGACCTGCCTGGTGTGTTCCTTGTTCTTCATGATGCTCTCTGCGCTTTAAACAGACCTCTGAGACTATCACAGTGCAGGTGCATTTATACGGAGACTTGATTACACACAGGTGGATTCTATTTATCATCATTAGTCATTTAGGTCAACATTGGATCATTCAGAGATCCTCACTGAACTTCTGGAGAGAGTTTGCTGCACTGAAAGTAAAGGGGCTGAATAATTTTGCACGCCCAATTATTCAGTTTTTTATTTGTTAAAAAAGTTTGAAATATCCAATAAATTTCGTTCCACTTCATGATTGTGTCCCACTTGTTGTTGATTCTTCACAAAAAATTACAGTTTTATATCTTTACGTTTGAAGCCTGAAATGTGGCAAAAGGTCACAAAGTTCAAGGGGGCCGAATACTTTCGCAAGGCACTGTACCTAACCTGATTAAAAGCTGGATCAGATTGAACATATTAGGCAGAATTTAATAATTTAGCAAACACAGCCACTCTTAATGTGGGAGAACAGGACCTAGAGAGGGAAAAAACTAACCTTTTCACACCCCTTAAAAGAATAGTTTAGTGCTTTGGGAAAAACAATTCATCACTGGTTGACAGATACTTAGATAAGAAGATTGACACCACTGTCTTGAGGCTACAGTGAGTGGCCTGTTAGCTTAGCTTAGCATAAAGACTAGAAACAAAGAGAAACAGCTAGCCTTCCGGTGTCCAAAGGTAATAAAAATCACCTACTAGCACCTCTAAAGCTCATTAACAACATATCAACATATCACATCTTATTTGTTTAATCTGTACAAAAATCAATGTGCAGAAATGACAATTTGCCACTTTAAGGCCAGATTGGCCTGACCAGGTTTTACATTGGTGGTAGCCATATGTGGGGATTGTAGTAGGTCATAATGCCATTATTTAAATGTAAATGTAACTAATCACTATATAGTAGCTTTTATCAATCAAAAGGAAAGTCAGTATTGTTCTGCAAATGTGAAAGTCAACTAAATTCACTCTCCACTATATTTATGGTACTAACATAGCGCTGCTGTGTACGATTTGTGCATTTCAGCAAGATCCCAGAGTTTGAACACCAGTAGGAGTAAATCATTATGAGCCTCCAGACCAGATGGGGGCATTGTGATGCTGCTTGAATGAAACTGAACAACCGTTCCACTCCCTTTTCTTTCTCCACCCTCCCTCCTCTTCCCTCCCTTGCCAGCCTCTCTTCAGCGATCACAGCAGTACTGCATAGAGATATGCCAGCCACTTTGATCATCACACCAGCGAAGGAGAGAGAGTGAGGGAGAGAGACAGACTAACATACAGCAGGACACTGAGGCAGACGTTGAAGAATTTGACATTTACGGTATTCTGTAACTGATGGAGCGGCAGGTCAGCCAGCTAATGGAGAGCTAACAGGCAGATAGGGAGTGAGTGAACATATGAGCAAAAGGCAGAAGGAAGGAGAGAGATCAGGCTGAGTGGGTGAACAGTGGTTGAGTGACTGCATAAACAAGCAGTGAGCTGATGACAGAAAATCATAAAAAGTGATTAGGTGGGATTTCATCCACCTGTTTTTCTGCACATTTTCAATTTGCACATAGAAAACCTTGAAATATACCAGAAATGTTTTAACACTTGATGGAAGTGGAAAAGTTGCTGTTTAATAAAAGCAAAATGCAACTTAATGATTGAATGTTAACATACATGATAGACAGTATGCATAAGTGCCTTCAGTTTCTTTTGCTGATTCTCTTGAAATTCAGTTAAAATTTGTGTTCCATTTGTATGAAAAGTCACTTATAGTGTGAGCAAGGACATGACATGTTAGTGGATAACAGAGTAGAAAAAAGTACAGAGAGAAAAGGTTTATTGTGTGTAACAATAGTACTGAACCTGACCGACCTGTGCTGCAATGCACTGCTGCACATTGTTAGCCCAACAAGATAAAGCAATTAAAGTTACAGTATGTAGTATTTTTCAAAATATTTAGTAGATATATCTTGCAAAACATTGTAATGGGTAGTGGTGCTGTCAAAGACTCCTGTGGCCTCATTCATGATGGGCCGGGTGAAGCGGAGCACGGCGTAGAGTGCAGGGAGAGGGAGGGCTGGAGTCTCAAGCTATCACTAGCTAGATTTTAAAATGTAACAAATTATAGTTTTAAGATTTTCTGTTGAAATGGTAAAAGTGGGGCATTTTATGCTGTAGCAACTACAATGCCTAGTCATGATATTTGTATATAGTGTATAACGATGTCTGGTACTATGGCAGCTGTTCCACATATGGATGTATCGTGTTAAAATCTATCTGAAATTACAACAACTATACAGTTTAGAGTCTACATGCAAAGCTGAGGCACTGAGGCTTGTGCCGGTAACTGCAGTTTACAAGCCAAGCATTGTGTTTGGTTACTGTGTCTCGTACTGAAAAATAACGACCACACCATTTAGCATCAAAATTGACCAGTTTAGTTTTTTAAGGTTTGTTTTGAAGCTGTTCATTGTGCTACAAAAATGACTCACGGTGAGTCATCCACTTGAAGAGAAAACATCACCTGCGCCCCTTCTTGCTTGTCTTTCAGGGCACATCAAGGCTTTCAATCAGGGGAGTAGTGACTTTGGGCTAATCATGTGTAGTCTCTGAGAAAATGGGCATTAAAACAAAACAAAAGAAAAAAAAAATGTAACTCAGAGCTACAACTATGATTTTATCCACTACAGACTTGATCCACACCTGGAAAAACCAAAACGTACCGGACTTCCACTGCATCATATTTTCTTTTTCAGCAAAGCAATACATGGCTTTGGATCAAACTTCACCCACATTTCTATAAAGTTAACATTTTTCAACTTTTGACCCTCCTTTATCATTACTGATTATTCTCACATTGCCTGCTATCCCACAGTGCTTTGAGAGGCAATTCATTCAGGTCCCATAGAAAAGGAAGGGTTGAAGAGGAGTTCTTTAATCTAGTCTTCAGTCAGAAAGTTCAAACAAGATTCAATTTCTTTCTCTTTCTTGCTAAAGTACCTTAGATCTCCATGTGATCCTCCTCCTGACTAACTGGACTCAGTAATGGTGTTTTTTTAAATCAAACAGGATACTACACAGACTCATTCTGTTCCCTACAGGGGGGTTCACTTTTATTTGTCATCAGGACTTGATGCATCCAAGTTCAGAGTCATTCAGTTTTGGCACCTTTAAAGACATTACGCGTTTTTTTTTTTAATTCTCATTTACCACAACACAACAAAAACCAAAGAACAAGAAAAAATGAGACAAAGAAAGACACTAAGGCTGTGAGAGTCCAAAGGAGCCAAGAAAATAAAGATAAATGAAAAGGCAAGATAAGGGTTTTTTTTGTTAGAAAAACACTTGGTACATTCTCCAAAGTTTGCTTTTCTTTCAAGCGTAATGAAGCCCCACCCCAAATTCCCCACTCTAAAAAAAAGGAAACAGACACAGTACTGTAACATTAATTTCTACTGTCACTTCCACTGCCCTTACATGGTATCATTGTTCATTTGTTCGAAACATAGGTTCCTTAAAAGCAGATCGGATGATTTGATTAGCATGCATGTAAAAGTGTAATCTTTTTGGAGTCACTTAGTGTCACCTCACTGGTAGCCATGTTCTCTCACGCACTACTTTGTGTCTTTGGCAGTAGTGATGTTTCATTGTCCACAGTCTTCTTCAAGTTTGCTGAGAGATCCTCCATCACCCAGAGTTCTCTCTTCACTCCGCTTGTTAGGGGAGCAAATAAAAATAAGGCCAACTACTCACCTCCAGTTGGCCCTGAACAAAGATGGCTGTCAGGGTTTTGGCAGAAGGCCAAAGGATTTTTTTTGTAAAATAATAATGTAATAATGTGTCTAATACTAATTAATATAAGTTTATCAAGTAGGCTGAAGCCTTTGCCCATCAAATGAGCCAGTCATGATGAATCCTCCATCTTGATTTGGTTTCCATGATGACTTGATTTAGTTTCGCTTTCTTTTTTTTCTTGTAGATATTTTTGCACCAGGGACATCTGGCCATGGTTTAATAACATATATAATCATGTATTTATATAATTAAAACATATATTAACTTA